GGTCGAACTAAGACTTTGCGAAAACGAAACCGTCCAGACTGTGTAATCCTAATTGACTATGGCTAACCTTCCGCCCGGTTACTATAGAACGGAGCTTAATAGAACCGTTTGGGAAGTTCCTGAAAAGTATCAAGACTTGAGTCCAATTGGAACCGGTGCGTATGGACAAGTTTGGTGAGTACAGTGTAAGAGGAAATTATTTGCTTCGATCATACATAGCAGCTTTGATTTGAGGTTTGTACCTTGGTTTAATGGCTCTTTTTGGGATGAACGGTTTTTCGAACCAAGGGGCTTCATAGATGTTTGCACACTTCGTGAAAAGGGACCATAGTCATTCGAGAGCAGCAAACATTCTCGAAGCAGTTTTTGTGATTCGTCAGTTACTATAAATATGCTTACTTATGACAATTTTCAGCTCGGCAAACCGTACGTCGTCGTGTATACTCTTATTTGATAACAGAAAACTAACGCGAAAATAATGAATCAGCATCGGGTGCAATGATTTGTTTTGAACAGTAGATATTGGGTTACACAGAAATCTTTTCTACGAGTCTCGCCTTTACCTACAAAACACTTTATAGCTAACTGGCTGGTGACTAGTTTTTATTATAGGGTGAACTTTCTGTCATGAATTCATACTCAGATAGCTACATTGTACATTTTCACCAATGGAGAGTTGAACATCGAACATTACTGATTTAAATGCAAATGATCACTTCATAAATGCATCGTCAATGAGGGTTGACTGTGTTCGAAATTTGAACTCATAGTTTGTTGTTTTGTCGTTAGTTGTATCAAAACTCTTGTTTTTCTCTTGTGCTGTGCTGTGCCGTCCAGGATAAATTATGTGAACATCACAAATTCTTACATTTAAGACAAATCTTACTAATCTGTGATGTTTTAGCAAGTAAATATAGTTAGGGTGCACATCATCATGACCAGGCTTGATAACAGGCAAGCACCTGTTTGGGAACGAAAAGCCCACACTCATTCCCTTTCTTGGAAGGATCAAAGACAAGAGTCAACAGGAGAATTCTAGCCTAGATGCACTTCTGAACTCACTGAAGAGATATATCCTATCACACATTTTGTTGTGTAGTATTGCTGAGTATTTTTACGAGTTGTGCTGTATTTTGACAAGCTGATAGGGGTAGTCAAAATACAAATAAGGAGTTGCTGTTTCTATTTTCTTCAATACATGGTGAAATTTCATAGTCGTCTAACTGCATTTCTTCATTCAATTTATCCAATAAACTTGGATCAATATTCACTAGCCATTCCGACTCTTTATAGTCAGGAATATAATTTAAATTGTCCTCCACTTTTTTTGTAACTTAAATCCAATTCGTTGCTTGCACAATGCAAGAAAACCTGTCCAACTAGTTCTCTGGAGTACAAGTTCTGCATGTCATTTGTACTCATGCTGGGTGTTATTTGTACTCTGCAAAGTGTAGTTGGATAATAAATTACAGTTACTGTAGTCTGAGTTTGTTTATAATTACCTTTAAAACCTACAGCTCGGCTTTAAACACCACTACTAATGAACAAGTGGCGATTAAGAAATTATCAAGACCCTTCCAAACCACAATGCATGCAAAGAGATCCTTCAGAGAATTGAAACTTCTTCGTCACATGGATCACGAAAATGTAGGTATATTGTGTAGAGCTTATGTTGATATAGATAAAATATGATCCTCCCAGGTGAACTGCAATTAAACCATTTATTCCCAAGATCTCATTAGTAATTCGCCTTAATGTCTCATCCTACTCTTATGATGTTGGTTTAGAGAATTTGGTGCTGAATCAAAATAATCTCAATTGATATTTTTTTATATTCTCCTCAGTAGTCTGCTTTATATTGTATTGATATTGTAAGGAGAAATTCTGTTTTGGTCATTCATGGGAGTTACTGGGTTAAAAAATTGCAGGAAAGAAGCCTAGAAATTTTAGGCACTGATGGGATTGAAATCTTTGCCTACCAGACACTAGTTAGGTGTTACTAAAGACTTAGCTAAGAAGCCACATGTTGGTAGCAAGACAAATTCAAGAGGGTTCTTCATTCTCCATAACAAATTTAATAGCAATTACATGAAATAAATGTTAATTTGACCTGGAATGATCTGTAGAGATAAACATGATCCATGCAGATCAGCTGCAGTTCAGATCATAACATCTGCTAGACAAAATATGATTTATTAATCATGATGTTGGTGTACAGTGCTCCACAATTACCATTTTGCTATTAATGATTTCCTTATTTATTTTTATCATTTTTTCCTTTTTTGTTTTCATTTACGCCCTTGGATCAATATTTTTGCAACAATACCACCAGGTGGAACCAATATTTCATAAAACAGATTGTAGTCCATGTCTTTCAACATCTGAGTTTAAATGGTGTTATATTTTTTTTTTCTCCCTAGGTTATTGGTTTGCTTGATGTGTTTACTCCCAATACTTCATTTGAAAGTTTTCAAGATGTGTAAGTTTAATATTATTTGATTTTCTATAATGTAGACACCTCCCTTGTCTGCCAGACATTTTTTTATCATTGTATGTCAGTCTGAGAATTAGGTGATCAGGGATTTCATTAATTTTAGAAGTAGGCCTTTATTAAGACATAAGTAGGTGAAAGACAGTTCAAGGGTAATTGAGGCAGATTTTTCACCAGTCTTTCTCTTCTGTCCTTTCAACATGGTGCACAGCAAACCCCTCGTGTTGTTGATAAGAACTCATCACAAAAATCACCTAAAAACCAAAAAGGAGACAAAATGACAACAAAAAAACACCTTTAGTGATGACTGCCTTTAGAATATATTGAATTTTCCAAAAAACATGCAAAAACTGGGAGGGTGAATGTCCATAGTTGCTGGCTTTGTTGTGGAGAGTAGCCACTGGAATTTGCTGGTTGCCTGCTTGTAATGAAATCCCTGGGTGGTCAATCAAAATCTTCTTTCTTCTCATCATCTTATGTAAAATTAATTGATTTTGTAAACATAAATGCTTTAACTCCCAGATGCAAAGGTAATGAGAAAACTCAAACTTGTCAGGTAGAAGTTATTTTCCTTTTTTAACACCAAATTCTTGTAACTTATTAACAAGGAAATGTGTAGCAACTACTCTGACTGGAGAGTTAACAGTCAGATCTCCGAAGTGCAAGGGTTAAGAGAAATTTCTTTCTGGCAATTCCTGGGATTGAAAGGTTTGCTAGGATACCAAAATTAGTTCTAGTCATGTAGAAAGACAATCCTAAATGGTGTGGAATTTTAAAGCACACAAGATTGAGACAGGCTTTCCTAGATTTCATGGTAACTGTTGGTTTTTTTTCTTCTAACTAACAGATATATGGTAACTGCTCTGATGGGAGCTGACTTGAACAGCATTCTTAAGTGTCAAAAACTCACTGATGAACATGTTCAGTTTCTTGTTTATCAGATACTAAGAGGATTAAAGGTATAAACAGCTAAGTGCAAAACATAAAATTGCAATCTCTGTGATTTGTTGAGAAATTGAGATTGAACTGTTTATTAAAATATCTAAAGAATTCTCCTTATGTGATTATGTCTTCCATTTTTATTTGAACTCCAAACTGATTTGGCTTCAAGGATAAAATGTGGGTGTCAATAACCCTTGCAGCTCTTTATGCGATAAATTCAAGGTGGAGACTGCTCTGGTTCGTGAAGTATCAGATGCTTTTTATCGTCTTGAAACATACTGTATGACTCAAATAATACCTTGGTTGTTAATTGGTTGGGCTATTGGTTAACATATTGGACTCTTGGTCTAGATGTTCAAGTTTTAGCTCTTTAAAAAGTCACTATCATGTATTCTGAACTGAGTGGGTGGCTGAATTGAATTGTGCTTGTGTAGCAAGCATGGCTGTTGCATGGCAACATGCCCCTTCGTGGGTGATCTGGGGCATGCTCTTACCATTCTTTTTTTTTTTTGCATTGCTATTTACTTCTTGCAATTTTACGATGATGCTGTTATACATTACCAGTTCTTAATGTTAAGCATTTATTTTTAGTTTATTTATCACGAGTAATCATACTTTACTAGTTACCAGAAACCATGTTACCACATTAAAGTATTCTTTTTTAAGAAGTATATTACATTAAGTAATTTACATTCTTGTTCTATTAATATATATAGTATCTGCAGATGTAGAATTTTATATATTCGAATGTATTTAGTACGAGTCGCTGGCTCATCGTACATCTTGAATTGACATAAATTTACCTACCTACCTGCCTACCTACAAAACTTAAATCAGGGTTGTAGCTGTGGGCCAAAATTTCAAGTGAATAGGCTCAAATACGGTGGCCCAGAAGGCTCAACGCAAACAAAGAATATACTGCAGCAAATAAAAAATATACTGCAGCAAATAATAATATACTGCAGCAAATAAAAAAAAAATCAAAACACAAAGAAAAAAAGTACCGCAGCAAATAAAAAAATGCAACGCAAACAAAAAATACTGCAGCAAATAAAATATGCAACGCAAACAAAAGAAAGAAAACGCAAACAAAAAAATTGGAATGCAATGCCAAGGAAGACTGGGTAATAGTTCTTAGTTTCCCGCCAAAACAGCATGAACTGGAACTCGTTTTTGGTCATGGACGAAAGCGATCTGTGTAGGATTATAGAAGATTACTCTCATCAAGGGTATGAAAATAAAGTTATTGAATTTTTAAAGGAGCAGCATGGTACTGTCATAAGTTCGCTGCAAAACATGGTTTCGGAAAGGCGAACAAGCAAAGGATGGAACTTGTGTTGGCGGGAAACTAAGAACTATTACCCAGTCTTCCTTGGCG